CCATCCCTCCCTTCCTCTAGCCCCTGGAAACCACCTATTTACTTTCTATTTCTATGAATTTGACTACTCTAGGTGCCCCATCTGAGTAGAATCATTATTTGTCCTTTGATTACTGGCTTATTTCATTTAGAATAATTTAGCATAATGTCCTCAAGGATCAGCCATGCTGTAGTGCATGTCAGAATTTCCTTTTTTTTGTTTTTAATTATATGACAATTTTTATTTATTTATTTTGAAGTATGATTGACCTACAACACCATGTTAGTTCCAGGTGCACAACATAATGATTCAGTATTTCTATACGCTACAAAATGGTCATCAAAGAATTTCCTTCCTTTTTAAGGCTAAATAATATCCCATTTTATATATACACCCCATTTGCTTTATCCATTCATCTGTCGATGTACAGTTGGGTTGCTTCCACCTTTTGGCTATTGTGAATAACGCTGCTATGAACATGGGTGTACACATGTCTCTTCAAGACCATGCTTTCAGGACTTCCCTGGTGGCACAGTGGTTAAGAATCGCCCTGCCAACGCAGGGGACGTGGGTTCGATCCCTGGTCTGGGAAGATCCCACATGCCACAGAGTAACTAAGCCCATGCACCACAACTACTGAGCCTGCATTCTAGAGCCCGCGTGCCACAACTACTGAAGCCCGCGTGCCACAACTACTGAACCTGCATGCCACAACTACTGAAGCCTGCGCACCTAGAGCCCATCTCCGCAACAAGAGAAGCCACCACAGTGAGAAGCACGCACACTGCAATGAAGAGTAGCACCCCCTTCACCACAACTAGAGAAAGCCCACACACAGCAACGAAGACCCAACACAGCCAAAAATAAATAAATAAATTTATTTTAAAAATTTATTAAATTTATTTTTTAAAAAAAGACCCTGATTTCAGTTCTTTTGGGTATACACCCAGAAGTGGAATTGCTGAGTCATATGATAATTCTACTTTTAACTTTTTGAGGAAGTGCTGTACTGATTAACAGAGTGACTGTTCATATTCTTTTACATCTTGCTTTTTTTTTTTTTTGGCGGCGCTGCACAGCTTGTGGGATCTTAGTTCCTTGACAGGGATTGAACCCAGGCCCTCGGCAGTGAAAGCGCTGAGTCCTAACCACTGGACCACCAGGGAATTCCCACATCTTGCATTTTTCACTCAGTGATACATCTTGGAAAGTTATCCATATCTTTAGATCTAACTCGCTCTTTTTCAAAAATAAATGTTTTGAAGTGTACAGAAAAGTGCACAAATCATAAGTGAACAGCTGAATTAAATTTCATAAACTGAACACACCTGGTAACCAGAACTCAGTTCATGAAAAGAACATGACCAGCCCCTCCAGGATGCCCTTCATGCCTGTTCCACGATGCCCCCAAAGGAAACCACTAACTGGACTTCTAACAATATGGATTAATTTTGCCTGTTTTCGTCCTTTATATAAATGAAATCTCGCAATATGCATTGTTTTGTGTCTGCTGTCTTTTGCTCGGTGCTTTTTTTTTTTTTTTTGCGGTACGCGGGCCTCTCACTGCTGTGGCCTCTTCCGTTGCGGAGCACAGGCTGCGGACGCGCAGGCTCAGTGGCCATGGCTTACGGGCCCAGCCACTCCGCGGCATGTGGGATCTTCCCGGACCGGGGCACGAACCCGTGTCCCCTGCATCGGCAGGTGGACTCTCAACCACTGCGCCACCAGGGAATCCCTGCTCAGTGTTTTGTTTGTGAAATTCATCCCATGCTATTGCATGTGGCTGTAGCTCTTTCATTCTCATTGCTATATAGTTTCCTCTGTGTGAAGATGCTACACTTTATCCATCTGTTGATGGGAATTTGTTTTTTGGTGGACATATGTTCATATCTGATTGGACTGCAATTGCTGGGTCATAGGATACATTCAGCTATAGTAGAAACTGCCCAACAGTTTGCCTAGTGGTTGGACCAATTTGGATGCCCACCAGCAGTGTATGAGAGTTTCCCCACTCTGTATCCTCACCAACACTTCCTGGTGGTGTCTTCTTTCATTTAGCCATTCTGGTGGGTATATATTGGTATCGCACTGTGATTTTAATTTGCATTTCCCTAATGATTAGTTGAGTAACTTTTTAAATGTTCCCCTCTCCCTTGGATTTCCTCTTTCTGTGAAGTTTTGTTCAATTCTTTTGCTTGCTTTTCTGCATACATACACACACACACACACACACATATACACACATATGCAAATATATTATATTCGTAAATATAATTCATAACATTATATTAGTAAAATTCTCCTAAGAACAAGGGGATTCTCCTATATGACCATAATACCAGTTTAACATTTCCCCAAGTATCAGTTTAAGATTGATAGAAAACTATCATCTAATTTATAGTTTATATTCAAATTTCTCCCATTGTCCCAATAACATACCTTGTCACCATCTGCTTTCCATCCGGGATCACACTTTGTTTAGTTGTCATGTTTCTTTTTCTTTTTTTTTTCGGTACGCGGGCCTCTCACTGTTGTGGCCTCTCCCGTTGCGGAGCACAGGCTCCGGACGCACAGGCTCAGCGGCCATGGCTTACGGGCCCAGCCGCTCCGCGGCATGTGAGATCTTCCTGGACCGGGGCACGAACCCGCGTCCCCTGCATCGGCAGGCCGACTCAACCACTGCGCCACCAGGGCAGCCCTGTCATGTTTCTTTAGTCACCTTTAATCTAGAACTGGCTGCCAGCTTTTAAATTTTTGTTATTGTTTTGGTTTTCATGACACTGACATTTTTAAAGTGTACAGACCAAGTACTTTATAGAGTGTCCCTCAGTTGGGCTTTGACCCATGTTTTCTCATGATTCAATTCGGATGATGCATTTTTGGCAGAAAAACATCACAGAAATGATGTTGTGTCCTTTTCAGTGCATATCAGGAGGCACACGATGTTCATTTGTCCCGATACTGGTGATGTTAACTTCTATCACCTGGTTTTAGGTGGTGTCTGCTGGTGTTGTCCGTTAATACTATTTTTTTTCCTTTGTAATTAATAAGTAATCTGTGGGAGGGTACTTTGAGACTAAATAAATATCCTGTTCCTCATCAAACTTTCACTCAGTGGTTTAGGCTTCTGTTGATGATAATGGCTGGAATTTTGTGTTTAATATTCCAGGACCATCACAAACCCCAAGAGACCTGGGCCTCTAGTGACATCCTGGAAGGGGTGGGGAGACTGTACGAGGCTGATGGTGGCCAGAGAGATCTGTTGGAAGTGAATAAATCTCTACGGTGGCCTAGGGGGTCGAAGGGACCCACATTGCTCAGGGATTTGGTAAAAAAACTGAGGCTGGTGAGAATTCATGCCCTCACCCTACAAATACGTATCAAAGTCCTGCTTGGGGCCAGGCACTGTTCTAGGCCCTGAGGCACAGCAGTAAACAAAAGAGATCAAATCCCAGCCAAGCTGGAGCTGGCACTGGTGGGAGGATTCAAACCAGCAGAAATGTGTAATATGTTTCATAGTGATAAGAGCGAGGTTAAGGAGATACAGAGTAACAAGGGTGTCTCTCCCCATTAAACAGTTCTGCCCCCTCTCCTTCTCATCTATGCTCCTGTGGGTCTCCCTGCCTGTTGTCTGCCAGAAACTCTGGCTGAGCCAAGGTCACTTCCAGACACCGTCTGTTCTCCCCAGGAGTGGGGCCTGTACCAGCTTCAGCGTCTGGACTCTTGGCACGGAGCCCCAGAGCCCTGGAGCGAGGGAACGCTGGCCTGCCCCACATCAGGAAGGGAATCCTCCAGTTTGGCTGTCTGGGACTGGTGAGATGGAGGGCTTCCGAGAAAGAGAAGCCGGTGCAAGCTGGGTGGCCTCCCTGAAGGAGGTGGAGGACTGCTGGGCGAGAAGAGTTCCTTAATTAGACTGATGAAGATGGATGTAAACAATTATATTCCTAAACACCATCAAACACGTTCAGAGTGCCTAGTTTGGGGCAAATGTTGGACATTTGTTATGGCACCTAAGTGCTTTATATATGTTATCACAGCTAAGAGGCAGGGGGTATTTACGCCATTTCACAGATGAAGAAATTGGAGTTCAGAGAGGTGATGCCATTTTCCAGAGGTCACACAGCGAGTGCTTTGAAGAGCCTGTAAAGGAACTCAGGTCTGTGTGGGTCCAAACACTGACTCATAACCACCACCTGTACCACCTGCTAAGCAGCACGCCATCCCTGGCCCACTCCCAGCACCGCCCCTTTCCCTGGAAGCCTCCGTCGCACCTTCTGCCTCTGCTTTCTCCCCTCCACTTGGGCCGGCAAGAAATACAGCCCTGGGTTACAATCTGCGGGTCGGTCCTAGTACCAGTTGTTTACCTTGGCCAAGTGAGCACACATCTCTGAGCCTCAGTTTCCTTAACTGCCTAATAGGGATAGAAATACAGCTACTGAGAGGAGTCCGTGCGTTGATGAACTTAGGGTATCTAATCCCCGCGCCGGGCGTAGGCTGCACTCAGTGACCCGGCGGCACGCTTTTAGGCAAGTTCTAACTCTCTGTGCCCGTTTCGTCCTGGGCACGACAAGACAATCAATGATAGTGCCTCTTAGGTCGTTCTCGGGAATAAACGTGTACGTGTACATGTAAAGCACTAAGAACCGTGCCCACAGTTAGCCGGGGTTGCTGTTTTTACTGTTGGGGACGGGGGAGGGCAGTGGGGTGGAAGCAGGGCTAAGCCAGGAAGGCTCTGGAGAATCGGGGCGCCCCCTCCTCCGTCCTGCAGCGTTTGGGTCTGGGTTCGGGATGTCAGGGCCCGCTGACCTCGGAGACCTCCGCCTGCTCCTCCGCACCCGGGATGGCAAAGACCAGCGCCTGGCGCTGACGTCGGCCTTCAAGGCCCCATTCCCCCCCCCCCCCCCCCCCCCCCCCCCGGCCTCCCCTGAGGGCGGAGCCCGGGAGCCCACCGCCCCGCCCCTGCGCGCCGCGGGCCTGGGGCGCTGAGAGGGGCGCGCAGCGGAGCTCTCAGACCCCGTACCCCGAGGCCCAGACCCCTAGGAGTGCGGGACTCACTGAGTTCCCCCACCCTGAGCGGCAGGATCGGGGAGGGTGTCGGTGCGGAGAGCCCAGGAGGTCCCGGCCTATAGCCGTGGGCTGTGAGAGGCGCAGCTGGGGGGGCACCGCTCTTCTCCCGGGTCCTGGCGCTGGGGACAGGGAGGCAAAACCTTGGCCAGGAAATCGGCTCAAGCCAGGTTTGGACTGAGGGCGGGAGACTTGGGGACCCCCGCAGGGGGACTGTGAGGGCGAGAATAGTCTCCGTGGTTGAGTTGTGTGGTGGGTTGGTGGTGTTATGGGGGAAGTGTGCAAAGGTGGATTGTGGTAAAACAGGAGGTGTCAGCGGAGCGGGTGAGTGTGGGCCATGGATGTGGGTGGAGAAAGAGAGGGGTGTGTGGCCCCGGGTGTTTGGGCAGATGTGCAAGGGAAGTGATGGGGACGGGGGAGAGTGTCCAGGCTGCATGTGTGGGAAGCCTGTACATATATGTGCCTCTGGGGAGAATCTGAGGCTGGGGGGATTAGGATGAATGTGCAAGGAGTTATTTAGGGTGAGTGAGTAAGACCGTTGGGAGCTCGTGTTGTTTGGGGCAAGTAGGCAAACAGTCCCTTGGGATGTGGATGTGCACAGGTGGAGGTGGGGACTGGGCTTGCCTGGATGGGTATGTGTGGCAGGTATTGAGAGTGTGCAGGCTTGGGGGCACAGGCGGTGTGTGAACTAAGCATCACTGGGGATGGGTGTGGGGGGGAGGGATGAGAGTGTCAACCCAGGATGGGTGTGTAGTTCATGGGCCAAGTAAGTGTGTAAGGCATGGTTTGGAATAAATGTGCAACAGGTGTGTGGTTTTTGCCTGAGGAGAGAGAAGCCTGGAACTGAATGTCCAGAGTCCTGAGTTCTCCTCACAACTTGGACCAACCTCTGTTACTCTCTGGGCCTCGGTTTTACTATCTGTAAAATGGGTCTGAGGACGGTTCAGCTACCTCGTCTCTGCCTGGAGTCTCTCCAAAGCCAGGAGTCAGGGGAAAGATAAAAGTGAGACTTCTACAACTTGTCTTTTTCTTTCCCCTACTCCCAGGAAGCCCCTCTGGGAGCCTCTCCCGAGCCATGGACAACCCCAGTCTTCCAGATCTCCGACAGCCTCTGCTGGTGGGTGTAGGCGGTGAGCCCCCTGTCCAGAAGCCTGGCGAGCCTGAGCCAGGGCCTCCCTTTCGAGAGACAGCCTTTGCAGAATCACTGAGGGGTTGGCAGTTCCTGCCACCATCTCTTCCTTCTGTGAGTGCTGTACTGGGGGAGCCAGGGCTCCCCGACCTTGAGGTAGGAGCAGGACCACTAAGGTAGGCTCCTTAGTGGGAGCTGGGGGAGGGGGCTGGAGGTGAATCCAGCTGTGGCCAACATCCGGCAGGCTGCTGGCCAACTCCAGCTGCCAGCTGCTGGCCTGGAGTCTCACTTCGCAACTGCGTTTGGCCTTCCAGGGTTTCCAGGTGTGGTTTTTCCTGTTCTCCATCCCCCATGGCTTCTTTACCTTTTTCTCTCCAGATTCATCTCTCATCTTTGTTCCCTTTGTGTCTGTTTGTCTTCCCTCTGATTTCTGACCTCCCTGTTCTCTATCAGTCCATGTCTTTCCAAAGCCGATGCATCTCTGTGCCTCTGTTTGCCCTGGTCTCTCTCTCTCTCTTTTCCAATTAATGCCATTTTTTATAATTTCTTATTCCTTGTGCGTATTGTCAAGCTTGTCTTTTATCTGCTAAACATGGTTTTCCAGTTGCTATTGCCACATAAGAAATCACCCCAAAGCTTAGTAGCTTAAAACAACAACAATCATTATCATGGCTCATGGTTTCCATGGGTTGGGAACTTGGGAAGGACTTGGGTGGTTCTGCCTCAGGGTCTTTCATGAGGTTGCGGTCAGCCAGTGGCTAGAGCTGGAACAGTCAGGGTCTGAAGCAGCTAGGGTCTGGTTGACTAAACTCTCTCTTAATGTAGTCTCAGGGCTTCTGCAGGAGTCTCCCCACGTGGGCTGGTTTGGGCTTACAGCACAGCGCCTTCAGGGCAGCCAAGACTCCTTATGTGCCTCCAGCCTCCGGCAGGAGTGTTTCAGCAAAGCAGAAGCTGCCTCACCATTTCTGACTTATGCTCGCAAGTCGCGTTGCATTACTTCCACCACATTCTATCAATTACAAATGAATCATAGCCTTCCCAGACTCAAGGAAAGTGGACATAGACCTCACCCCTGATGAGATTATCAGTCACACAGTAGGAAGAGCATGTGGGAGGGGAGAGATGGGTGTGGCCATCTTGGGAAACACGGTCTGCCCCACTGTGGCAGTAAGCGTCCCTTTGACATGGTTTGTGTCAAAGAAGCCCATTATTTGAAGACCTTGAGGGCCTTATTACCTAGCTCTCCTCCACGGTTCCTGTCTGCCTGGTTATCTTTGCACGCTGGTCACTGTATTTGAAAAATTGTTTTGAGGCCTAGAATGAAAGTACCTTCCTCAGGAGAGGATCTGGTTTGCTTTTGTCAGCTGTCTGGGGGTACTACCAGTGAAAGATCATTTTTAATCTAGTTCAAGGTCTGAACGAAAGGTTAATTTTTCATTCAGGGATTGGTAAATGGGATTGGTAAATGCCTGCAGGGCGGAAGGGGCCTTCTCTGTTCATTTGACCTCTCTGTTAAAGTAACCTTGATTTTCACTTCAGTTTTGGCTTTACAGTAACTCCTTAAAGTCTTGTGAGCTATTTGATGCAAGATTTAAAATATATATATTTTTAACCTAGAACCTGTAGTTTCAGCAGGCAGGTTTGTCCTAGTAATTTAGGCCACCAGAGCTGGCTCCCCTAATCGCCATCTTTTTGCAGGTTCCAGTCTCCATTGGTTTCTGTCTCCACTTCAGCGGTTTTTAACTCAGAGCTTATAAGCGGCTGTAGTATCCATGAGTGGACCTGTGAGCTTGAAACTGAACTCAGAGCTTTTGAGTGTGGGTGACGCTTTTCTCTGGAGACAGGGTCCAGAGCTTCCCGTCAGAGGGATCCAGGATGTGGGCAAGTGAAGGGCCTACCTCTTGGAACATTTTTCTCTCTTGGTGTCTTTGGGGGCACGGGGAGTGGAGCAGTGGGGCAAGGAGGATGGGTGGAGATGACCACTTAGGCTGTCTCCTGCCCATAGGATGTGTCATCCAGTGACAGTGACTCGGACTGGGATGGGGACGGCCTTCTCTCCCCACTCCTACCCCACGACCACCTTGGCTTGGCTCTCTTCTCCATGCTGTGCTGTTTCTGGCCCGTGGGCATTGCCGCCTTCTGCCTGGCCCAGAAGGTCAGTCTGTGGGTGGAGCTGGGAGGGGGTTGGATAGAGAAGAGAAAAATGCATTCGAAAGAAAAGAAAAAAAGAGGAGGCATGCTTGGGGGGAAAAAAAAGTGACGGAGAAAGGATTTACATAGAAACATTCAGGGGTAAAATGAGGCATTTTTCACAGAGGGCAGCCCAGAGTGGTGGTTAAGAACCTGAGCTCCAATCCTAGGCCTGCCACCCTCTGGTAAGGTTGTGGGCAAGCCACTTAAACTCCCGGTGCCTCATTTTCCTCATCTGTAAAATGGGAACGAATAATTCCTGCCTCAGGGTCATTGTGAGGCTCAGCGAGTTAGAACTGTGGCATATAGTAATATATGCATATTTTCATTAATCACCCAGTATCCCCAGTGCCCAACTGTGCCTGACCCACAGTAGCTGCTCTCTTATGTTTTTGGAACATATGAATGAATACGTGGGTGTGTTGGGTGGGGGAGGGGTCGGGCTGCGGGAAGCAGGGTGGGATGAGGGGATACCTGAGTCACCGCTGTCCAACGCCTCCACAGACCAACAAGGCTTGGGCCAAGGGGGACGTCCAGGGGGCAGGGGCCGCCTCCCGCCGCGCCTTCCTGCTGGGGGTCCTGGCCGTCGGGCTGGGCGTGTGCACGTACGCGGCCGCCCTGGTTACCCTGGCCGCCTACCTCGCCTCCCGGGACCCGCCCTAGCTGCCCCTGCGGTCCCCACTGTGAACCCAGGGGCCGGCCGCCCAGCGCGTCCGCGGTCGGAGTGGAGAATCCAGGTGAATGAGGCGGCGGCGGCGGCAGCAGCGTCCAAAAACGGGGAGTGAGTCGGTTCTCCCCCTCCCCCGCACCCCCCTTCCTGGAGGCCGCAAACAGCGATTAAACACCAGACACTCCTGCCGCCAAACCTGTGTCTGTCTGTGTGGGAAGGCGGAAGGGACGGGCCGGAGTGACAGGGTGCCCCCCGGGGTGCTTCCGGACACCTCAGAGCCAGTGAAGAGGGAATCCGAGGAAGCTCGGCGGGCTTCCAAATTGCAGAATATTCTCTTCACAACGTGGGTGATAGGTAGAGAATTAGAGAAAGCCAGGTTCCAAGGCCTTCCTCCTCCAAGTTCACTGTGTAACCTCTGCCCATGTACCTTCTGAGCCTCACTTTTCCTCATCTGCAAAATGGGACTAATTTCTCCCACACCTGGAGCAGTTCTGAAGACTAAATGAATCATACAGTGTAAACAGCAGCCTCCCCCAGAGCTCCTTCGCCAGCAAATGGCAAAATCCAACTCAGACTGCCTCACACCACAAAAGGGAAGCTGAGGGAGAACTGGATTGAGGGCCTCAGATAAAATAGTCTGGTCTCCCCATCTCTTGGCTTCACTGCAGAGGCTCTGCCTCATGGGGGAGGAGAATGGAGCAGGCAGCTCTGGTACCCCAAAGATCCTCTTCCCCAGGCACCCTCTCAGTGGCCCACCCGGGCTAGGAGGCAGCCCCATCACATAGCCTGAGATTGGGAGGGATGGGGCCTTCAGGCCTCAAAGTGCTGGCACTCTGGCAGGCAAAACAGCCCTGTTCTGAGCTTATCAGAGGTACACTAGACTGATATTACCAAGTAATAAACTGAGAGTGGTTTAGTTTTTTCATTCCACTTAATGCCATTTAATCATACTTCTTAGAAGAAAACACTATTCCGTTTGTGCTCTCCTGCATGTCTTCACGGAGTGTAACTTCAAGGTAAAGATATTTATGCATTTCCTTCTTGTTTACTGGGGATGAAAATGACACCTGCTCAAAGGGGCAATTGTGGGCACCGTGTGGGCCAGTTTAAGCATGTGAAGTGTGCAGCACAGGGCCCCCAGATGTGTCATAAAACCCTACACGTCAGTGGCACACAGGACTTGGCAGCCACGTGGCCCACCTGTGGGGACGTTACGCCTTGCTGGATGCTAGCGTGATCTTGGCTCCTGACCCCTGAATGGGAGGGTGGGGATCAGTCAAATCAGAACTGAAAATACACCCATTTCCAAAAGCCCCTCAGGGGGTGCTATCACCCCTGAAAGAGAACCAAGAGGCCTTGGCCACTTCCTTTCACAGACAGGGACCCGAGGTCCAGAATGCGCTGGCACCTCCAGTGTTTGTCTGCACAGTGAGGGCTCTGGGTCTGGGCCTTTTTTTTTTGGCCGCACCAAGTGGCACATGGGATCCCCAACTAGGGATCGAGGCCATGCGCCCTGCAGTGGACGCGTGGAGTCTTAACTGCTGGACGGCCAGGGAAGTCCCTGGGTCTGGACTCTTGAGTGGGGCCCGTGCTCCACCACTTAACTAGCTGGTGACCTCTGGTGGATAACTGGCTTCTGAGCTTGTTCCCTTACCTTATTCTTTTTTTTTTTTTCCTGTGGTATGCGGGCCTCTCACTGCCGTGGCCTCCCCCACCGCGAAGCACAGGCTCCGGATACGCAGGCTCAGCGGCCGTGGCTCACGGGCCTAGTTGCTCCTCAGCACGCAGGATCCTCCCGGACCGGGGCACGAACCCGTGCCCCCTGCATCGGCAGGCGGACCCCCAACCACTGCGCCACCAGGGAAGCCCTCTTTCTTGAATTTTATTTATTTTTTTGGCTGCGTTGGGTCTTCGTTACTACACGCAGGCTCTCTCTAGTTGAGGCGAGTGGGGGCTACTCTTGTGAAGCACGGGCTCTAGGCACGTGGGCTCAGCAGCTGTGGCACGTGGGCTCAGTAGTTGTGGCTCGAGGGCTCTAGAGCACAGGTTCAGTAGTTGTGGTGCACGGGCTTAAGTGCTCCTTGGCATGTGGGATCTTCCCGGACCAGGGCTCGAACCCGTGTCCCCTGCATTGGCAGGCGGATCTGTAACCACTGCGCAACCAGGGAAGTCCCTTGTTTCCTTACCTTAAAACAGACTGTAACAACAGCCACACCTCACAGGGTTGTCGTGTGGGTAAAAGCAACATTCAGAGCCAGATTCCCCTCCGAGGCCCACGAAGGCCACTGTCTCCCTGACAATCTCCTTGCTCTCCTTAGTCCTCTGCTCCAGCCACACTGGCCACCTTGCTGGTCCTTGAACCTCTGCCCGTCTCTGCCAGGGGGTCCTCCCCCCACATGTCCACGAGTCCCCGAGTTTGTCCCTGGCCTCTTCCTGGGCTTCCCTCAGATGTTCCCCTCTCCACGGAGGTGTCCCCGACTGATGTATTAAATCTGCCCTCCCCCGACTCACCTAAACCCGTCTTCCCTGTTTGTTCTTAAATAGCATCCGCCATCCAAAAAACACCAATTTTATTTGTCCATCACATCACTGCTCCTCGAACCTGGGACGCGGGCCTCATTCACTGCTGGGGCCTGCACACTCTAACAGCAGTCCCACTTCACCGGGCTGTTAGAATGAGTCGAGTCAGTCAATAAATGCACCATCCTACTAGTGTTTTCCTGGGGTGGGGTGGAGTCTGTGCCCCCCGGGCCCAGGGGCTGGCTATAGCCACTTTCTCAGCAGGGCTGGGCTACCAGTTTATTTGATGCTGGAGGTGGTGGGAGGGGCAGCTTGCCCCAGCGTGCCTCAGCTCTTGGAGTAACGCCTCTGCAGAGATTCCCGGTAGAAGCGGAAGACGTGCTGGGAGGCAGCCTGGGCTGCAGCCAGGCACTGCTGGAGCTGGGAAGGGAGAGGGGCTTAGTGCTGCGGGCCCAGGCCTGCACCCACACCGCCTGACAGGCCCCACCTCCCAGTCCACCGGGAGCCCCGCCCCCCAAGGGGAGGCAGGTGGAGCGGGATTTACTCTCAGTGCATTTCCTTCTTCCCCACTTCATGGGCTCCTTCAAGGGGAAGAGGCCTCAGGGGTCAGGTTCCAGCAGCTCCAGGCCCTCAGACCAAAGGCATCAGGCATCCTGACCCCTGGACGTGACCCCAACCTTGTTGAGCTCCGGGGCCAGACTGGAATTTTAGAGCCACAGGCCCTGTGACTCCAAATAGTCTTAAAAGTGTGGAACCTGAGACCCCAAATCTTTACTGCCTTGTATACCTGGATTCACAGGAGGGCCAGGTGGGAAATATTCTTGGAGACCATTTGGCCCAACAGGTGCCAAACTCTGTTTTTCAGACACCCCGAGTTCCGGGGTGCACAGCTCTGAGCTGGAAGCTGGGAGGCCTCAAGGCGCCCCCATCTCTTGATTTCAACCTGTGCCCCTCTTCTCATAAATTGGTCTTCCCTTTAAAATTCCCACAAAGGTTTCTATGGCTACAAAGTTTGAAAACTCCTATTTACAGAAGGGATGCAAGGACGAGGCCCTCCTTAAGCTTCCTAGGATTGGGACAGGACCTCGTGTCAGGTGGGTGGGAAGGATCTGGCATTCACCCCCAATTGCACACTGGTACCTCAGCATCAGAGTAGAGCCCCTTAGTGGTGGACATCAGCAGCTTCCGTTCCACGCTGTCAAGTGCAAAGGTCAGGACTGCCCGGGCCTCCTAGGGATGAGGGGTACAAGGTGGGGGACCTGGGACTCTCTCCTCAGACACAATCTTAGCTGGTCCCAAAGAGGGGGCTTGCTTTTCACTCACGTATCAAGTGTATTTTTTTTCTTTTTGGGCTACATACCACCCCTTCCCTGCTTCCTTGAGTAATCACTACCCATGCCAAATTCCACCACATGGTTCTGACAGGGGGTTCAGAGCACAGTATACTGCGCCACAGGGGCAGCAGCCACAGTGCCGGTCATTCCCCGGTGCCTCCCATCTCCCTGCAGTGCTCTGTACCCCTGGGGCTGGAAGCCAGCAAACTGTACTTCCCAGATTCCCCTGCCAGTCAGGTTCTACCAGGAATCTGGTGGGAGACTGGGAGGGAGGAGACAGCATCTTGGTCCTCATTGCAGCAGGAGTTTGGGGTATATCACCTGCCACAGGAGGCATGGAGATGGGGTGGGTTCTGGACTTCAGCAGCCAGGGCAAAGCCAGCCCATCTCTGTGCATCTAGATCTGACTGCATCAGTGCCTCCACCAGTACAGAGCAGGAGCTGGCTTCCAGCTTCTAACCTCTGGGTGTCCTTTCTTCTTCCCTTTTGCTCCTTCAGCTCTTCCAATACGGTTATAACTAGCTCCTTGCATTAAATTCTGTCTGAAATCCCCCCAGGGGTTTCTGCTTTCCCGACTGGATGTGACTGTTACAGTCCTGAGCAGATAACTGGGAATAACCAGAACCCTAGCACACTGTGACCTTGAGCCAATGAAGAAAAAACTCTTTCCTCCTTTGCTTTTGTTTTTGAACCTCTTAAAATCAGTTCCCTTTTTGCTTCAGCAGGTTAGAGTTGGGTTTCTAGCACTTTCCCAGATGAACAGGGCAGAGCTTGCCAGCTGAGACTGAGGTGACAAGCCAACTGTTTTGGAGAAGTGAGGCCTAGAGGAGGAGAGGAAGAGTGTCTGCCCAAGGCCTTTCACCACCCTGCCCTTCATACCTACCTTTTCTTGCTTGGCTGTGGGGTCCAGCAGGAGGGTCCCATCAGAGTCCAGAGCACAGGTGACCCCACAGAAGAGGGCCCGCATGGGCACACCTGCGTCCACCAGTGCCATGCAGGCGGCATTCAGGCAACAGGCCAGGAGCTGAGTGCCACAGGCAGTGGTTAAGAGTTTCTTTTTTTTCTTCCTTTTTTTTTGGCCGCACTGTGAAGCTTGTGGGATCTTAGTTCCCCAATCAGGGATTAAACCCAGGCCCTCAGCAGTGAGAGAGCAGAGTCCTAACCACTGGACCGCCAGGGAATTCCCAGGTTAAGAGTTTCTACTGGAGGGCTGGTCAGCAGAACATATCCATGCCTCCATTTACCCTGCCAGTGCCTGTAGCAGACATCACTAATTGATCACAGAAAGGCAGAGTAGTTCTGGGATCACATATCCTTGGGTTCCAGACCTGAATTTGCCACCTCTAAGCTGTGTGACCTTGAGCAAGTTATGTATTCCCTCTGAGCCTCAATCAGGGATCATAATGATATTCAACAGATATGCACCTTCAGGGAAACGGAGGGAGGGCAGAAGCCTTCCAAGATCACACAAGTAGGCAGTGGCAGAGCCAGGCCTGGAGCTGGGGTATCTACAGCATGCAGTGCTACCAGGCGATAGATGGGCAGGGTGACAGAGGGAGGGGTCGGTGTCCTCAGGGAGCCCACAGTCCAGGGGAGAGGTGTGGCCCTGGCATAGTGCAAGGTGAGCACAGGCCTGAGTCAGACAGGTGGCCCCACCTCAGTTTCCTCAAGTCTTTCCTCCCCAGGGCCCAGTTTCACAATCAATCAGTCCCACCTCTGCCACTGACCCTCCATTGCCTCCCCTCTGTGAAATGGGTTCGCAACAGTCCTCCTTTTCCCTCATCCGTGAAGTGTCTGCCCAACGCAGGGCCATGCACCTGCAAAGCCATCTAGAAATGCCTGTTTCTGGTCCTTGGCCTCTACCTTTCTCTACCTCTACCCAAACCACAGCGATCTTTCAAGGCTGAGCTGCTGAACCTAAGGTTCTACCTGCTCAGGGCTCCCCCAGTGTTGAGCCTCAAATCCAAGCTCAGGGTCAGAGTTGAGGTCACTGGCACAGGCTTTGGATTCTGGAGGACTTCCTGGAGGAGGTGGCCTAGGGGAAAGGATACAGAGCCAGCATCGCTGACGACCTGCAGCACCACGGTTATGGAGGTGCGGGGGTGCAGAGCTCCCAGCACCACCGCTTCACACGTGTTTCTGATCAGCCGCTCCCGGCTCTTCTCCGCTACGCCTGGGGAAATCAGGGGTGGGGTGGGGTTGTCAGGCTCTTCCCTTCCATCTGGCTCACCTTCCTCCATATGCCCCACCCAAGCCCTCTGGAAAAGGGCCTGCAGTCCCAGTCCGGGCTGCTGGAAGACCCTGAATGGATAACAGAGGAGTCCCAGTGGGAAGGAGGCAGGGCCTGACTGCCACCCACCAGACCCTTGCCACTTCCAGCACCCACCAAAGGAGCCTCCCGGGGAAGAGAACCTCTGAGCTCCCATGTCCAGTGCTGCTGTCCACTCCCATCCCAGTGGGCCCAGCCCTGGGGAGTGAGGGGACAGAGTAAAAGAGTGGAAAAACAGATTAATGGAAAGGAGGAGAGATGGAGCCAGGAAAGAGGAGGGGAAAGTGAAGATGGAGAGAGACAGGGAGAAAGAGAGAAAAGTGACAGAAACAGGGACTCAGAAGCAGAGAGTTGGAGAAAGAGACAGAAATAGCTGAGGGCAGGGGACTTCCCTGGTGGTCCAGTGGGTAAGATTCCGCACACCCAAAGCAGGGGGCCCAGGTTCGATCCCTGGTTGGGGAACTAGATCCTGCATGAATGCCGCAACTAAGAGCCCGTATGACGCAACTAAGACCCGGCACAGCCAAAATAAATAAATATCAAAAAAAAAAAAAAAAAAAAAAAAAGGAAAGAAATAGCTGAGGGGTGATGATGAGAGGGAGGGGGGAGTGGAGACCAGGAAAAGCAGTGAGGGAGACACGGGGTGAGAGGCCCAATTACCAGGCAGACCGATCTTCGGCCTCAGGGTCACCTCCAGTGTGGCCTTGTTGAAGATCTCTTTGCTGACTTTCACCTCTGCTGGCCCGTACACGCCTGCCAGGACGGAGGTATCGCCTGGGGAGACAGCATGGGAGGCCTCACCCAAATCTTCCCTGCCTCTGGGGCCCAACGCCTGGCACTTAACATTGTGGGCCCTGAGCCAGGTGGCCAGGGTTGCCCACATCACCCTCACTGGGGCTCACCATTTGCTGGCAGTGATTCTTTGAGCACTTGCTTCATTTCTCTGCCTCCACTTCCTCATCTGTAAAATGGGGATAACTACAGTACCTCCCTCACAGCTGTGAGGATTACATGAGATAAAAAGAAAACACTTACGACTGTGCCTGTAAGTGCCGAGTGCCCAAAAGACTTTAGCTATTACTAGAAACTTTAATGGGAAGTTCTTCCTGAGAGCTCAACTTTCTCCCTCTTACTGCTGCTGGTCCCAACTTCTCCATCCAAAGCTTCCCTTAGCCCAGCTCTCTTCCCTCAGGCTCACATCCCCAAACTGTGCAGCAGTCGGGACACCTGAGAAAGAGATAAATATCTGGGGGTGGGGCCTGACGCCTGCTTATTTCCTCCAGGCTCTGTAACCCCAGCCGATTTCGCTCACTTCTCTGGGCCTTAGTTTCACCATCTGCAGAATGAGGAGACTGGACCTCAGCAGCAGCTTGCAAACTTTCCTGACCCTAACTCCCAATAAGAAATACGTTTTAGAGCAGGACCTAAAACTCACTCAAATCTGTGTGCATGTAAATGGAACAAAAGCCTCACAAAACAACTCTTACCGTTATTGCTTTGAAATACTCTGATATCTTCTACTCTATTGCAGTTAAAAATAACCACGAATGACGCAGTGGTTCTCAACCCTGGCTGCACAACGGACTCACTGCGTAGCTTTAAAAGATACTGATGCCCAGGTCCCTCCCCCAGAGAGCCTAATTCCATTGCTGGGGGTTGGGGCTCAGGCACCAGCAGCCTCAGAGCTCCACAGGCCATTCTACTGTGTAGCTGGGCCTGCAACCTGCAGTGGGAAGAAACGGAGCTCCAGCAAAGCTTCAAAACACTGGGCTGCAATCAGACTCACCACAGCAATTAATTCAAAAATGTAGAAGGCCAGCCTTAGTTGGGAGTGGGTAGGTTCTGGGGCTTTGCATTTTTAACCTCATCAGAGATTCTGAGGCCAGAAGCATGTGGGACACACTTTTGAAGGTCTGCAAAGGACCCTGCTCCAGGGTCCTGGGCTTTGGGGTTTTAGAACACAAAAGGGGCTCAGTATTTCTTAAGCGCTAAGAAACTCCAGGCATCTGCATTTAGCAAGAGCTAAGCCCTGGGGAGGTCCCGGGTAGAGGCCTTTTTTTCCCTGGGGTTGGCGGGGAGGAGCTGCCACACAATGGAGGGGATTCTGCCGGCTCCAGGCTCCAGGAGAATGCACCCGAAGGGGGAAATTATCCAAGCAGAACAAGAGCCACACTGGGGCCTTCCTTCCTGTTACTCCAGTGAGCACGAGTCCCTCCCCTCTGGACCCCACATCCATCTAACTCCTGCCCCATTTACCTGGTCCTCTTACAGCAAAGCTCCTGAATAGCTGTCTCCACTCACTGACTCTCTTTTCCTCCTTGACCCCATCCCTCCACCAGAACAGCTCTTGACTGCACCACCAATGACATACGTCCAAGTTGTCAACCCACAGGTCTAGCCCATCCTCACGTGATGCAGCCTCTCAGTAGGACTAAGGCAGTTGGTTGGCCCTTACAGCTCAAACACGTTCTTCTCTGGGCTCCAGGTCACCGCCCTCTCTTGGTTTTCCTCCTACCTTACTATCTTCTCCTTCTCAGTGTCTTTTCCTAGCTCTGCACAAGCTAGACGACCCAGGGCTTAGTCCTGGGACCGCTTCTCTTCTCCATCTATACTAATTTTCTTGGTGATCCCATCCAATCAGTAGCTTGAAATACCATTTACCAATCGGTAGCTTGAAATACTATTTATAGCCGAAGGATTCCAAATTCCAGACTTGTATGTACTGCTGCCCCAGTCCACACTGCCACGGGGATGTCTACTATGCACTGTAAATTTAATGTTCCAAACTGAACTCATCTTCTCCTAGCACAGCTGATCTGGGAAAAAAACTTTCGCGTTATCCCTGACTCCTTTTTTTCATATCCCCAATCCAAACCATCTGCAAAATCTGTCAGTTTTCCCTTCAGAATCTCACCCCCTGCACTGCTTCCACTCTGGTCTGAGCCACCTTTACCTCCCCCTTTCCCCCTCTAACCTCAACAGTGCAGCCAGAGAGATTCTGTTAATATATATTCAGATCATGTCACATGGCTCCATTCTCAATCACTAGGCCTTACATGACGGGCAGGCCTCCTTACCTCCCTCCCGCCTCCTGTCTCTGCTGCAGCCACACTTGTTCCCTGACTATTCCTCACCAAGCAAGTTTTGGCCTCAGAGGTTCCCAGTGCTTGGTAAGTTTTCCTCTTGATCGCTTTAGGGTTTGCTCCCTTACCTTTAGGTTTTTATTCAGAAGGTACCATCTCAGTGAGGCCTTTCCTTACCATCCTAATTAAGACTGCAACCCTTTCTGGCACACCCTAATCCTCTTCCCTACTATATTTTTCTCCACAGCATTTTACTATATATTTTACTTAGTTATCTTTTGTCTGTCTCTTTGACTAAAACGTAAACTCCATTAGGGCAGGGATTTTAAAAAATTTTTTATCCATGTATTCTCAGTGCTAGCAAAAATACGTGTGTTCAGTGAAGGAATGAATGAAAGCAGGTTCTGTACCTGGGTCTGAGGTAATGCCCTAAGGCAGGGCCTGAAGCATTTATGGGGGTGATCCTTAGGCCTGTCTCCAGAGGAATATTTCCCGGGGTCAGGGAGGTGAGTCTAGTCTGAGAATTATTTAGCTAGGGGAAGGGGATATTTACCTAATAGGTAAGACCTGCCCCAATCTCAGGGATATAGAAAGAGTTGTGTATCCCAGTCAAAGGGATATTTACCCAATGGGTGGGGGTGGGGCTGGGGACATCACCCTCAATCTGATAAGTATCTACTTCGGTAGAAGATCTGCCACGGGTCCAGGGAGTTATTAAACCGCTAGTGGTGATCTGCCAGTCTACTGGGTATTTATGCGAACAAAGGGGTTTGCCTCACCCCGGGATGTATGGACGCAGGGTGCGTGTGTGGGAGGCGGGGGAGGAAACTAGTCAAGGGAGACACCCGGGTAAGGAGATTTCCCCTATTCTGGAGTATTCGTTCTTAAGAGGAGGTCTGCCCCTCCCTCATTCTGAGTACTTACCAAAGTGGAAATACCTTCTCCCGGCTAGTCTGGAGGGAGAGGTATATGTATGCAGTAGTATCCACCCCGGCAAGAAATGCACCAGTCCAGGAGGAATATTTACCAGCTAGCACAGTACACTGTAACCGCGCCCTAAAACGAATACGACCTGGGTGAGTTCCTACCTTGCAGGAAAGAGGCCGAGCCATCGGGCCGGGACAACAAATTCTGTTCGCAGGCAAAGTTCCGGAGGCTACAACCGGGACCCCGAGGGCCGGACTCTATTCCAGACTCAGCGCGGATCTTAGTCTCAGTCTGCATCACTCCCTGCATCGCCCCGGAGCCCACGTGCAGCCGGGATTGTCGCTTCTGCCCAGAAGCGCGGGCTTCCTTACAGACTGCGTACCTAGTGCGCACGCGCCGACCCGGGGCGGGGGAGGGGGCGTCTCCAGGATCAGCTTCCGCACGTGGCTCCGCGTTTACTAACAATTTGGTCCCTCCCACTCCCGCCTCGAAAGTCCAGGAAAGCCATTGGACAGAAGCGAAGAGAGGGAGGGCCTTGGTCCTACCCGAGGTCCCCGGGCCCTGAAACCCTGAGGCTCTGGTCAGGTTGCCCTCTTCTTTGCCTGTTACAGGAACAACGGCGATGAGGCGGTCAGAGTAATTTTGGGGAAGCTAGATTGTTTTATCCATCTGCATATGTGCCCTAGAGACCGCAGGACTAGTAGCAGGTGGTTTCTTGACAGGGTGATGCTGGCATTTGCGTCAGGCTTATGAAGTGGCAGCCCCAAGCTCGCCGTGGAGGGGCGGATCGGCGAGGGACTGTTAGCAAAGATGGCGGTGGCGGCTGCCGCGGCGAGGGTCTGGGGATCAAGTCGAGGCTTGGGCCGGGTTGGCCTCCTCCTGCGGCGGCCAGGGGCTCGTGGGCTGGCTAGATCAGTGAGTATCTGGGACAACGGGGAGTTTTCTCCAAGGAGGTATAGGGATGTTTACGCTGTCTTCAGAGTGTGGGGGTTCCTCTAGGGAGTGGAGGAAGGGCTTTTAACAGAAGGGACAAGGGCTGGGAGAACCACTTGGAGAGGACACCCAAGGGAAGAACTTCCAGTTCCTTAGGAGGAGAAAAGCCAGGCAGCCCCTTTGTAACCCTGAAGGAGAGAGACAACTTGGAGAGAGCGAGGGAGCTTCTTGTTAGTTGCCGCCGTTCCCCAGGGGAGGCCGCTTAGAGGACGCGGGCGGGGGAGGTGTGACCTTTCCTCTCAGTGGTTGGAGAAAACTGCCTTTGTAAGGGACAGACTTTCTTCTCGGTAGACTCCCCCCCTTCAAGGAGGAGAAAACAGAGATCAGGTTTCCCATCAGGGACTTTTATGGTGCCCTTTGCTCCAACTCTGATTTTAAAGTGAATTGCGTAAAAAAGTCGTTTGATCCTGTGCCCCCGATAGAATGCCTTGTCGGTTTTGATGACTGTACGAAGATGATCAATAAATATTTGTTGAATTAATGAGGGAGTGGGAGCGGGGGCGGGGGGAGAGAGGTCCAGACAGAGCACTTAGCCCACATTTCTTAGAAACACTTGAGAAATGCCTTGTTTCTTGTCAAAAGTGTTAGGTTGATGCTGCTAATTGCTAGCTCACACAGCAGAAATCTAGTTAGAAGCCGCTATTTAGGAGAGAGGCCGGGGCCTGAGAAAAGCAGTGAACTAAGATTTCGCACATAAGAGAGTCGTGGTTAAGAAGATGGGCTCAGGAGCTAGACCATGTGGCACCATGTCCCTAATCTGCCACTTTCCAGCTCGGTAGCTTTGGGCAAGGGACTGCTCCTCTCTGGACCTAATTTCCTCCTCTGTAAAATGCTAACAATGGCCCCATCTTAGGGTTGTGTAAATTAAATGTGTAAAGTGCCAAGAACAGGACCTGGTATATGACGAGTGCAATCAGAATGTTGGCCGCTGTTGAAAGTGAGGGTGGAGGGAAGGGACAGAAACTGGCCTCGGAGATGGGGGAAGAAGAAAGGAGGTGACCTTGGGAGGGTCTGGATTGGTGAGGGCCTTGGCGGGAAATCTATCAAGATCTTGTGGGGTTGGGCCTGACCGTCTGATGCCCAAACCATTGGGAAGGGAAGATAGAATCTGTGGGAAGAAGCTCTAGCTAGGGAGAGAAATGGGGGCAAGAAGATGGGCTGGGAGTGAGGTGTGGGGACACCTGGGAAGGGAGTTGAAGCAGGTAATTTCCGAAGGGCTGCTGGAGCAAGATGGAGGTGGAGAGTCCCTGCCTTTGGGCTGTTCTCGGTCAGTTTTGTTTTGTTTTGTTTTTGAGCCCTCAGATTCCCCACAGCTGAGCTCCCTAGAGCCCATTGGTTGGGCCTGCGCGGTGGGGTTGGGCTGGACTGGGGCAGGAGTAGGGAAGGGTCATTCCTGACTGATTAAATTGGCTTCCTTCCTGGCTCAGTCTCCTTGCTGCCCTTCATGCTTACTTCCCCTCCTTTTTTTTTTTTTTTTTTTTTTTTTTGGCGAGTTGGGTTGGGAGCAGGAGGTCTTTCAGAGTCTCTACGTTTTGCGTTTATATTTTTAGAGTCCCTGTTTTTTCTTCTCCACTTTTAAGTATTTCACTTGTTTTTTTCTTTTTTTTTTGCGGTACGCGGGCCTCTCACTGTTGTGGCCTCTCCCATCGTGGAACACAGGCTCCGGACGCGCAGGCTCAGTGGCCATGGCTCACGGGCCCAGCCGCTCCGCAGCATGTGGGATCTTCCCGGACCGGGGCACGAACCCGTGTCCCCTGCATCGGCAGGCGGACTCTCAACCACTGCGCCACCAGAGAAGCCCCTCACTTGTTTTTTCTTAAGATTTAAAAAGGAAATTTTTTTTTTTTTGAGGGGAGGGAAGGAGTAGTAGCATTTAGTCAAAGATTTTGAGCCTGATCTGGTCAGTAGGACTTTTTGTAATGATAGGAGTGTTCTAAATCTATGTTGTCCAGTACAGTAGCCACTAGCCACACGTGGCTGCTGAGCACCGGAAATGTGGCTTAGCGTGACAGAGGAATTGAAGTTCTCATTTAATTTTTTTAAATATATTTATTTATTTATTTATGGCTGCGTTGGGCTTTTTCTAATTGCGTTGAGCGGGGGGCTACTCTTTATTGCGGTGCACGGGCTTCTCATTGTCGTGGCTTCTCTTGTTGCGGAGCAGGGCTCTAGGCTCACAGGCTTCAGTAGTTGTGGCTCGTGGGCTCAGTAGTTGTGGCACGCGGGCTCAGTAGTTGTGGCGCACAGGCTTAGTTGCTCCGCGGCATGTGGGATCTTCCCGGACCAGGGCTCGAACCCGTGTCCTCTGCATTGGCAGGCGGATTCTTAACCACTGCGCCACCAGGGAAGTCCTTGGCTAGTCTTAATGAAGCACTTTATCATTTATAGTGCCAACTGACACCATTATTGTATTTTTTTATTTTTTTATTTTTTTCATTATTGTATTTAATACTGCCACACTGCAAGGTATGTACTGGTAGTTTTCTTCTATTACAGGGGAGGAGACTGAAGCTCAGAGAGGTGAGGTCTGAACTTGGAGCTCCGGACTCCAAAGCCTAGTCTCTTTCCACAGTACCAGGCTGCCAGGAGGAGAAGGGGTAGGGCTTCGGTTCAGGTCTTGCAACATCCTGCTTAGTCCAGACATGGTGTGTATCATCAGACTCTGCCTGGGGCTGGTGGGAAGAGCCGACCTCAGCCCCCATCATGCCCTCCCTTCAGTGCCGTTCAGCCCCACTGGCCGTTTTCCCCTTTCCTTGGATGAGCTCCTCCCACCCGGAGGCCTTTGTAGGGATGTGGTCCTTCAGGTGTCAGGCTGAGAGTTCACTTCCTCAGAGGAGCTTTCCTGACCCCATGACCGGTCTCAATGTGTAAAACAGGGACAATAGCAGTACCTCCCTCAGAGAGATACGCTGAGGGTGAAAGGAAGCAGCTCTTAGGAAGCACTCACACGTACATCCATGTGCTCGGTAAGGGCTCAAGAAATGGCAGCGGCTGCTTTCCCCCAGGAACAGTGAATCTGTCGTGGCCTTGACTGATGCAGGGAAAGGATGCTTCCCATCTTCAGTGGCTGGGGAGCTTAGTGCTGCTAAAGCCGCCGGGTCCCTGAGGCCAGAGAAAGCCTGACGCATCTCCACGCTTCCCTGGCCTCCCCAGCCGGATCCCCCTGGAAGGGAAGGCCGCTGATGAGGTCACTGACATTCCTGAGCTGGAAGTAAAGCCAGGGTCAGCTTTGCACTCTTTGAGGCAGAGCGCCTCAGACTCCAGAGAGAGAGCAGGCTTGGCTGGCCTCAGCTGTCCTAGCTTCCGAGGACTCGGTTACCTGGCACCATCCACACAGCCTTCCCGGGCTGGACCCCGCTCTTCTCTCCAGCTGCCCTGTAGTGGGCAGGCTGCCTGACTTCAGATGCTGACACCGCTGCGCATCATCTCCCTGGGTCACAGCCAAGTCACCTAACCCCTCTGAGCCTCGGGGCCACCTCTGTGGTACGGAGGTGTGGTCATGGCGCCTGCTTCACCTGGGTGCCGTGCAGGTTCAGTGAGTCACAGGCACCATACAGCAGGTGCCTGGTGTGGCGCCGAGGCACGTAGTTAACTGCTGTGGTTAACGTGCTACAGCCAGGTGGTCTCCAGGGTGCCAGGATCTCTCCTCTTGCCTCAGAGCCTTTGTCCTTCCCAAGGACTGACGTGTTCTCCCCCCAGCCTCTGCCTGGCTCACCCCTGCTCGTCCCTCAGGCCTCGGCTTCGCTCCGCCTTCTCCAGGAAGCTTTTCCTCCTGCTGCATGTGATGCAGCTAGTGAAAGTCTTCCTTCTCGAGCTACAGCAGGTGCTTTATACCCGCCTCACCACCAGCCAGTGAAATAGAAACTCTTATTTCCACAAGGGGACGCGGGTTCAGGGAGACAGTCTCCTACCCAAGGTGACGTAGCTGGAAAGGGACAGAGCCAGGATTCAAACACAGGCTGCTTGGCTCTCCAGCCCTCATCCTACCCTGCCTGTGTGTTAACTAACCTCCCTGCAATCCTGCCTCCTCCGACATCGCCCCTCCTGACTATGACTTGTGTGTTCAGTGTCTGTCATCCGTCTCTCCCCGTTGTCCCCAGCCCTCAGTTCAGGGCCTGATTTGGAGCAAATATTCAATGATGACTTGTTTGACCGCTACAGTCATCAAGTACACTTGTTAGCTAGTCATAGTTATCGAGTGTTTGTTACGTGTCAGGCACTGGGCTGAGCACTGTACACCCAGGGGCTCTTTAAATCCTCAGGACCGGGCTTCCCTGGCAGCCCAGTGGTTGAGAATCCGCCTGCCAATGCAGGGGACGTGGGTTCGAGCCCTGGTCCGGGAAGGTCCCACATGCCGCGGAGCAACTAAGCCCGTGTGCCACAACTACTGAGCCTGCACTCTAGAGCCCGCACGCCACAACTACTGAGCCCTCATGCCACAACTACTGAAGCCTGCGCGCCTAGA